TATTCTGTACATACTTGACAAAATGCTAGTGTAATTCCAGTGTTAAGCGACTTACACTGGAGAAATTTGGTAAAATGTTAAGGAAAAGAATTAGAGTAAAATATCCTAATCGCCAATACCATTATCCTTTGGTGTTTAGATAATGGATGGCTATAATTTTCTAATTTTATATATTTTCTGTGTTTTCCACAATGGGTATGCACTACTTATAAGAAAAGTGAACTATTATTTTGTGAAGGGATATTTTCTCTTCTATGATTTGGCTAGAGGATGAACCAAAGACCTACAATAGAGAATCCTAAATATAGGTATCCCTCACTGACTATACTTACTTTTTAAATTCAAGAACGGTAGACTCAAGAATAAAATAGATTCAGATAATAAAAGATGCTTGTATTCAAAATTAGCAAGTGGGAATACTGTAGAATGTCCTCAACAGAAATGGCGATTATCTTTAGTATGTGGATTAAATATGATCATGAAGATACAAAAAGAAAAAGAAGTATAAAGTACTTCACATCATGCTTTATACATAATAAGGATTTAGTAAAGGGTAACTTATAATGATGCTGTTATGCTAATATGCATGGTAAATTCCTAAGAAAACTATTTTGTAACCCCTGGTAGACAGAAGAAACTTCCAACCTTGGCCAGGGGAAGAAGTGTCTGGTTTCAGTGTTTTTAAAAAGTTCCCTAGGCAATTCTCACATGCAGTCCAGATTGGTAGCCCTGCACTAGAATCACAGCGCAGTAGAAAGCCCTTCTACAGTTGAGTGGTTCAGCTCAGAAGAACTGAACAAGAGGTTCCGAGTCTATACAGAAAAGAAAGCTATTCAGAAAGATTTCTAATATGACCTATCATGGGCGAGGGAAGGCAGTTCAGTACATGGGGGAAGCGCCTGATGAGTTAGTCATGCAAGTGGCTGCCAGGACAGAAGTTTCCATCCTGAATCTTAATGGTGATAGATGTGGGGCCCCGTTAGTAAAAGACCTGCTTCTTTGCACCATGGAGAGGATTCAGCAAGAGGCTGAGGCTGAAAGTGTGAGGCGGAGCCAAAAATGATCCAATAGAAACCAGTAATCTTGAGTTTGGGGGTCATAAAGGGTGATGGACATGTGTGGTCCTTGGTGTTACCTGTGTCGCAGGGCCCCTGGAATGTCTGTAAAGCTATGGATTCCCAGATTTGACTGATTATAGAGCTTTGGGTTGGAACATAAGAAGTAGTAGCACTAGCAACTAGCATTCCGTGTCGTTCTTATATTTGATGGAGTGAGATCTGCCGATCCAGACAGCATTGTGCCCCCAAACCAATATTCTAAGTAACTTGAGCCATATTTACTGGTGGCCTCAGCCAGTTAACATGTATTGGTCGAAAGAAAATCCCATGCAGGAGGGTTTGAATCATTTAATCCTGACAGCAACCCTGGGCAGTGTAGATTTTATTACCCCATTTTATTTGAACTTGACCAAAGTTAAATAGTAGCAATGAAGTATGGATTCAGGGGTATCAGAATCTATATTCCTTCCACTTTCCACAGCCTTCTGCCATGTCCCTAATGTCATAGGAGAGAAAGAAACGGAGAAAGATTGTGAAGCCAGGGGCATGTTCTGTTGTAATCTCCTCTTAGTAAACCCTGGGGAGTAGTCAGTGAAAAGTTAACACTGAGATCAGTAGCAGTGGGAAACCCAGCATGGCGAGCTATTTGTAATGTATATCTTATACCAAGCGTGTGCGTGCATGCACATGCAATGTATACAACTATCTCTACAGTAGTGTGAAGCCTTCTCATTTTCCGAATTTGAAATCCATACAGACGTTCTTTAATTAGCCGAGGCTTAGCCAGATGTTTATATCCATATTTGAAGTTGTTGTGCCTCCTCTGATGAACTCCACATGTCAACCACAAGCCAGCTGTTGCTCTAGGGGACAACCGTTCTCTGTGCTACAGGTGCACACCTCAGTTCACTGCCAACTTGCCATTTTAAAAAGAAGGAAACTTATCTGGGCTACAAGGCTTTGAGAAAGAGAAAAATATGGCATATAACAAGAGACAACAGACAGCTCTGTGAGGACAGTATCCAGAAGTGGGCAGAGCACTGGGCCGCCAACTAAGGCTGTGTTTTCTTCTAGCTCTGCACTGTGACTTTAATGAAGTGTTTCACGTCTCTCGTCCTTGATCTATTCAGCTTAAAATAGGGTCATAGACCTGTTCTATCTAATGTAGAATATGTCACTTTTCTCTCAGTGCTCTTCAAGGGCTCCCCAAGTCCCTCAGAGTAATAAAACACCCAAATCCCCACACTGGTCCCTTCACCCTACCCCCAATCCACCAGTTGCTTCCTACTAGTCCTGGACCACTTCCTCCTGTCTGTCAAACGTGGGAGGCCTACTCCTGCCTCCAGGTCTCTGTTGTCACCGTTCTCTCTGCCCCTCCCCATCCCTTTGCCCCCTTCATATCCTTATGAAAATGTCACTTTCAGTGAGGTCTTTCTTCCTTTCCACCATCTCCATTCCTCCCTATCACAAATGCAAGTGCTCGCCACTCCTTGTTCTACTGTGTTATTTTCCACGGCACTTATCACCAGCTCCCATACCATGTCTTCATTTTCTCTGGTGATTTTCATACTAGAAAGATGATTTTGAATAATAGCACGGAAATGCGGGGGAGGGGATGATAAAGTTAATCAAATGAGGGAAAGTATCTTTTAAAAACTAAAGTCACATGAAGAGGAGGTAGGAGAAAAAGTAGCAGTTACAATTTTGATAAACCGAGGTACTTGGTCGTTAGTACCCTTCCAAAATATTTTGGGAGAGAGAGGCAAAAATTAGAAATTTAGTGTGAAAATCAATTTATTGGGAAGATTGTGCATTCAGCTTGAGCTATCAAAAAAATACTTTTATAACCTTGGTCTGATAACGTTCTAATTTATAATTTGATCTTTTTGGCAGCTGGGTCAAGAATCTAATTGGACGCTGTCGCACAGTTTCAGGCTCAGAAAAGGTAACCCCACGATGGGAACAAGACTATCATCTGCAGCTCATGGGCAGCCTGGGATTATTTTACGAATATCTTGAAATGAGTAAGTCATTACTAAAGTTTTAGGTGCTATAAATTTATATTGGAGCATGTTTTGGATCCCCAAAGTATGGATTAGTAAACTAAATAATTATCTAGCATATTGAAATGAAGAGGAGTATGTTTCTCTCCACTAGATAAAATTATACAATCAGGCTTTCAAATAAGGTGACTGTGTGTATCTTTGTCAGTGTTTGTTGTACAAAGCTAAAGATTTATTACCAGTGACATGCAGTAGTCATTGAGGTACAACTTCACCATTAATTCTCAGGGCATTCCAACCATGTTGTCTGAGAATGAACCCAGAACTATTATTAAGATGGGATTCAGCTTGGGCTGGAGTCCATGCAGGCACAGCTGTTGGCCGATGAAGTTCTGAACCGAGTCATTTAAGCAAGCCTATACAGAAAGCCTGTAGGAGGAGCATATTGCCTCTTGTTGCAGGAATGATTACAGCCACCCTCCCAACACCAGCCCTGCTGGAGTGTCGTCCACACTCACAGCTTCGCTCAGCCTGGCGCCCGCTCTCCTTGCCGTGGCGGGAGGCCCAGCCCTCCTTGCATAGCGGGGTCTTCCCTCCAGTCACCCCACCCCCACCTCTGCCTTTGACAGTATATCTATTTCCTCTGGCTGGTGGTTTCTGCCTGGTTCCTTGATTGACCTCGTGGCTAATCACTCACTTGAATTCAGAACCATTTCACTGGTCTGGAATTAAGATTTTTAGCATAGCTCTTCTTCTTGAATGTCTTTATCCATTTGTGTAGTATTTGCTTGTTCTGTTTCTCTTCCTTGAACTTGATTTTGAGCTCTGAGTTGCCTTTTAAATGGATACATCTCAAAATAAATTTCCATAAGAAATACCATCTATCTATCATTCATGACACTTATATGTAATAGAAAGCTAACAGTCTACATGTTTTGTATCTGCCCTTTCAGCTAACCACTGATTTACCATTTTTTAAGCTTAGGAGACTAGAAAAGGAGGCACAATACTTTTGTTGACAGGCCTTGCATTTATGCATAGGAGTTTGTGTGTTAGTAAAGACATCCCTTTGTGGTTCCTGTTTATAATGCAAAGAGAGGGTGTCTTTTATTAAATCATTCTATATATAAAATAATTGCTTTTAAAAATATACATGGAAACACATCTGACATCTGCTTCCTTTGGTGAGTGAAAGGTTCATCTTGTAGCTTCTTTGGTCAACAGTGCTTTGCATCCTGGAGTCTGATTTGAATTTCATTTTTGCTTTTGTTATGTTTTGTGACCAAGTTTGAGTAAGGGTGTAGCTGCTGTACATAATGTAGAAGCTATATTTATTTACTCAGTTTGTTTTCAAAAGGACTATAAGACAATTACCAGTTATCCTAAAGTAAGTCGTAATTATAAATATTTTATATGGAGCTATTAGCATTATTAATAATATCCTGGGGGAGAATTTGTTATTTTAGCACCAAAATAACTTGGAGGAAAAAAGCTATTTTTCTGTAGTTGATTAGTCAAATGAATTAGGAAAATTGATTGATTTCCGAGTAGACAGTCTGTTATTCTGTATTTAAGATCAATTCTTCAACATCTCTTTGGCACTCATCCCTTTTTCCCTCTCTCTCCAGTGTTACACCCATACACACTATCCAGGACTCGGGCCTGTCTTCCCCGCCTCCGTCATCTCTGTTTCTCTCCACCACCTACATTGATACTTCCTTGTCTTTGCAGGATGAGCTTTCCAAATGGAAGAAGCACTATAGCTAGGTAGCCTTTTAAAAAAGTATATATACATACAAGTACATACACATATATACACACCCTGGCTTTTAAAAAGTAAAACAAAAATGAAGGGAGAAAAACATTCCACAGAGAAGGGAACATTTGGTCATATCAAAAGCTGCCTAGTAATCAAATAAACAAGGACTGAAATATACAGTGGCTTGGGAATATGCAGCCACCAGCAGAGTTAGAAAGCGTCTTGTTTCAGTGCAGTGCTGAGGACTGCAGCAGGGTGAAGAGGGAATGGGTGGTGGAGAAACGATTAATGTAGGTACTTCTTCAAGAAACTTGACTTGAAAGTGAAGAAGAAAGCATGGAAAGTATTAGCCAGTAATGTAGGGTCATGAAAATGTTTCAGATGAGGGCTAGTTCTGTTTTTCCAGCGAGTGTTTTTTGCCTTGCTAAATTGCTAGGTCTTTTCTTTCTTGCATGCTTCCCTTTCTTTTTTTTCTTGGAGTCAAAAATTGTTTAGAAAGTTCTTCTCACTTGAATATCAGAACAGATTATACCATCTGGAATTTATTTTGGTGTCAAAAGTGAGGACTCCATATCAGTTTTTCCAATGATTCAGCTAATTTCTTCAGTACTTGGATCTACTGATTTGAAGTATCACTTTTATATTAAACTCTCCTGAATACGTACATCTATTCTTGAAATCTTTTCTGTTTAATTCATTTTATTATTGCACCCGTTCTAAACTGTTTCAGTTACCGTGGCATTATAATATACATTAATATCTCCTAGATCTGGTCCTAATTTTTTTAGAATATTTAGTTTTCCTAATACTGTCAATTCAAACATCCTTCCTCATTATTGTACTTGTGTATATTTCATAAAGAATTTTAGCATCGCTTTCAGCGTTTTTTTATGAAATCTATTTGGGATTATTTACTAAACTTGTATTTAAATTCTAAAATAAATTTTGGAGAATAAATTTGGTATGTCCCCAAATTAAGCAGACTTGAGTCGACTTAAGAGTATGGTATATTGTACCATTCATTCATCATTTAAGTCAATTACCATGTCTTACTATTTCTCACTAACTTATTTCTAAATAGTCTATGCTTTTGTTATAAATGGTATCTTTTCTTTTTGGGATTTTTGAGTTTATTGCTAATGTAGCCCTAATTTCTGGCTTCTCTTGAATAATGAGATCTGGCAGCATTGGGCCCTCATTCCAACATAGCAACTGGGAGTGGTCCTTTTCAATAGGACATGCACTTGCCAGTTTACCACAGTTGACTGCACTCATTTCACTCAATTCTGTTACTTTCTGGGCTTCTCTGGTTGATAAGTTCATTTAGGGTTAGATGAGTCAGACACAGATGTTGACCTCACTGCTCGGTGCTCTGCTGCTGACATAACCAACGCTGGTCCTTGCCTATCTGATTTCCCTAGACATGACCCACTCCTCCCTGGCCTTTGGACCTGCCAGGTCTTTCCAGCCCTGTCTGCCCTTCTGTAACACACTCTGGCCTCTCAGACCAGAAGCACATGCCAGCTCCTCCTACCTACCTACCTACCCCTCCACAGCCTTGGCCTTCCTGGCCAGAGTGGTCTCTCCCCCTGGTCCAGCAGTAGCTTTACAGGGGCTGTTCATTTTCTTTTCACCCACAGTCTGTGTTACATACCTGTACTAGCTTACTTTAAAGGTCTGCCAATTAGGAGGGGAAGATCTACAACTGAAAAGTATAGTACAATACAGTATAGTATACATGGTATGTAGAGTAGATGCCACATAAATTACAGAGAAGGAAGAAGAAATCTTCTAAACCATCACTTGAATCTTGACTCAGTGTGGCCATGTGACCTGCAGCAACTTCAAGATAAAAATTCCTAAAGGATTATATTTTGACTTATTAAGACACTCTTACCACATACATTTCTGTGATTTGTATAATATCACAGCACTTGCATTCACAGACTCCGGGGAGCTTGCTCATTTGCCTATTTTCAACATATGTTCTCCAACATTCTCTAAGCATGGTCTTCCCAAAGGTACATTTCTTACTTCTTTTTAACTTGCTAGATACGTGCACAATATTTTTTTGATCCTAAATTACAGATCATCTTCCAACATTCTGTTTCAACGCTGAGAATGAATAATATGCTTAGAGTATCCCAAAATCATTTACCAGCAAATAGCTTTCAGATTTTTAAATATATTATTCCTGTTAAGTGAGTGTGTGTGTGTGTGTGTGTGTGTGTATGAAACAATCTATAATTCGTCTTCTTCCTCAAAATCCCATATTTGTGTTTTGTTTGGATTCTTTCACTGTTGAATAGTTATTACCACAGATGTCGGTTTTCTTTGGGGGTTAGTTTGTTGTTTGCCTTTCTCTTTCTTGTCCTTCCATCCATCCACCATTCTGTGACGTGTGTCCATTCCATTGACAGTTATTCAGTTTGGGTTCGTCACCTTATTTGTGGCCTCTTTTCCACTGGCCCCTCTGTTGGCTCTGGTGAACAATATATTGGAAATAAGAGTGGATGCATGGAAAATGACCACCCAGTATAGACGCATGGTGCCAGAAAAAGCCCAAGACATCGGAGCATGGCAGCCCATCATGCAAGGAATAGCAATTCTGGCTGTGGTGACCAATGTGAGTAAAACTTAGGCTTCGCAGGGTAAAGACCTTGAAAAGTCCAAAAAATGTATTAGCATTGCTACCTCTGGAATCAAATGTTTAATATTTCTTAAAAAGGGAGAAGGATGCCAAGACTATTCACCATACAAACAACATAGCTCTTATAACTAATTATTAGTTTTAATGTATTTTGTTTGTAAGTCATGAAAAGTAATTAAAAGTAATTAAAAGTCAAGACGTCTGTCTTATAGAGGCAATTGCTAAGAGTAACCATTATACTGTTGTTGCACGTTTGCTAAAGTTTTTATTCAATAGAAACATTCTAATAGTAATAACAATAAGTACTTTTTTAATCCTCAAATGACTATAAAAGGAATTATCCAAAAGTGCTTTTATAATGGACATGGAAATCTATCCATTTAGAGGTTGAGAATCCTAAAATAACAGCTATCATTCTACCGTATTTTGCTATATATTTCAAATTATCAACATAAAGTAACTATTTAATGAAGTATGAACACTGTGCATCCCCAATCTTGTGTTACCTCCCTTGTCTCCTAGGGCAGAGGTTATTCAAAGAGGTGGTTTAGGACAGGTCCCATGTCTTCCCCGTACCCCTTTAGTCACTGCTAGCCACTCTCTGGTCATTAGCCTCTTATCCTGCTTGTATCCCAGCTGTGAGGGACCAGAACTCAGTTGTTTACAACCTTTATTAGGGACCTGTCCAAACACTCAGTCTCTCTCTTTCTCCCCACAACCCCACAGAGTCCAACATGCCAACTCATCAGGACCTCCTGCCCTAGAAATACTCTTAGAACCAGGGCTATTTCCTCTCATTTCACTCCCAAGCCATAGTCGCCAACAAAATGACATCCCAGTTTTAATTTCTTAAGCTACCCTTTGCCCTGAGTCCCCAGCCTTTTTCCATAAGCATTGTAGAAACAGAACAGAATTCGGCAGTGCCTATGGGTTAGGCTCCTGGATGAGGGAAGCTGCTGAGCACTGCAGACTCTGGGGTCAGACCTGAGCTCCAGCTCCCAGCACTGCAGCTTGCTGGCCTCGTGACCTATGGCCAGGCCTTAATACTTCAGAGCTCCATTTTATCATTTGTAAATTAATTCCCAATCACATATTTTAAGATTATATACCATAAAAGGTGGTTAGAGAATTCATTGAGTTAATGCATGGAATGCACAGAGGCTGGTCCTTGAGGAATGTTAGCTGCTATTTTATCATTTTCATTACTCATCATCATCCAGAGTGACGGTGTGTAGACTTTGACAGGTATCTAAACTAGAGGCACAAGAATTTTACAGCGGGTCACTGTCTGAACCATAGTTACAGTTTTATACAATAAAACAAGTTATCTGGAGGCCAGCTGTCACCCCCAAGAACCTTCAATTTATCTGAATTGCATGCTATCCCTCCTTTTTGGAGAAAGTTGCAAATCACACACACACGCACACGAAACAACTGCTAGTTTCTATCAGTTTCCGTTTACTCAAATAGCCCACACTTTCAGTGTCCACTGTGCTGCGAAATGAAGACTGATGTTCAGAAATAGGACAGTGAGGCCTTTCAAGTTCCATAGTCATAAAAGGATGAATCTGTCACGTTCAATATGCTGCACAACACTAAACAAGGCGGGAACGTGGACTTGTGTGCTTTAGGAAAATTTTCAGCAACAAGGTTTGAAACTAAAAGGATTTTTGTTTGACCTTCAGCTAACCAGAAAATTCAATTGCCTCATACTCCCCATTCTTCAAGCGTTCCAGTTTGATTGTGTTAGGCACCTTTTTCCTAGTAGCCCCAGCCTGGCTCCACTCCATTCGCGCAGATGGAGTGCTGGTGTGTTTCCAGGGCTATTCAGTGCTGTGTGCATGCTCACGTACCGCTCATCGGTGCTACTGGTTCTTACCCAAGTAGCTGTTTTTTGTTTTTGTTTTTTCTTATACCTTAGGCTTCGTTTGTATACCCCAGGAGTTTTTTCCATATTAGGATATGAGACAACTTTCAAGATGCAGGTCCTGTGTATGTTATCCTCTCACATACCTAATGCGTGTGCAAGAAAGGCTAACTTTACATAATAGGAGAATTTTTAACTGTGGGAAGGAGAGAATAGCCACCAGGGATGAGAAGGGACATCAAGCAGGAGTTTGTTATAAAATCATTTTAAAGCTGCTGGTTCAATAAATAAGCTGAATTGACATTGTTGTATCATGCCAGAGCATCTGCTATTGAAGACCAGTTTTAATTTATTTTGATATAAATGGAAAATTATGTTTGGAACAGCATGGGAAATGGAGCACACTGCATTTATTTGTACTTTTGCAGAGTGTCTCAAAGCAGCTCAATTCAGGAAGAAAAAGTATCTTGTCAGAAAATAGAATTATCTTGTTAGAATTTTTGTAGCTTCCTAAAGCACATATGCAGGTGATTCTAGATAAAGCTGTAGTTCAGTTAAATAATAAAAAATTTTAATCTAATGAAATCTGGAAAATTAAAATATTCTTGTCTTATACCACTACCACGGGCAGGCAGACAGACACACAGAAAAATATTTTAGAGGAAATGACAAAGGTGGTTCCAGTGGGGGGAAATTTTGCAATAGAAAAGCCCCTTAGTTGTTTTTCTTGCTTTGCCTAAGATCTTGTTTGTTGACTTGTGATCTGTGTCTAAACCATATGTTCAGATAAATACTATTAAAAATCATGTTGTACAAAAACATGTCTGTTCTTCTGCTTCAATAAATGACTGAATCATTTAGCTTTTACTTTCTCTTTCCTTCAAACCAGTTTTGTACATTAGAGAAAATTCATATAATTCATAAGAGCTTTACATCCTAACAGATGTCTGTCAACTCTGACTTAAAATGTACAATACATTCTTCTCTTGCTAATGATTATTTTAGGACATTTTTTTAAATCAAATTTGATCTGAGAATATCCATAAAGCTCTCATTTAAGATATTTAAGATACATTTGACCCACATTTATTCCTTTAATCTGGGAACATACTAATTTGATAATTTATAGTGTTCATTACTTTTGGAAGTTTAGAGGCTTAAACACTAGATCTAACGAAATAAACATCATTGCTTGACTATGTGAGTGGATCAACCCAATATATTTTGCTACCTACATTTTATTAAAATTTAAAAATTACTGCTATCTAATGAAACAGCATATATAAGTATATACTGAGAGTTTACAGACTATGTATGGGTTGACTTGTCTAAACAAGATACTATAGAGAAAAAGTATAAATTTAAGGGCTGTTATTTACTTAGTTTAGATCAAGGAAAATACATTTTATGTAGCTTATGTTCTATTTTTAAGAGGCAAGTAATTTTTAAAAATTGATTTTGTATTGCAAAGAAATTGTATAAACCCAAAATATTTTCAGAATATTAACCTTAGTATTACATGTACACAAGGGCCTTCTACATGTGAATAATAAAAGATTTAAATTATATTGAATAGAGCTCCAAGGTTGACTGAATTTTGTTACATTCTAATTTTTAAAAATATAATTTACGTATTTGCAAGAAACTCTCAAGTTACAATACCCAAGTCCACAGTTATTCTTACTGCACTTAAACGTAATGATGACTATCAGGCCTTCACTTTTGAACTACAGATAGACTTCTGGACATTTCTTAGAATTGAGGACCAAAAGGAAACTATTCTATTTTAAAGCAGCTGCTCAAAGATTTTAGGCTATTCACTATCTATATCCAATTGTTAGTTAGGAGAAAGGGTTTCTGAACCTTTAATTAAAAAAAAATAAAAAGAACACTGATGAAAATGTAATTCTGGCATGTTGGGTAACCATAGCTGTGAAGGCTCTAAATTAATGTCTCCTTTTTTTCCTCCCAACACAGGCCATGATCATTGCTTTCACATCAGACATGATCCCCCGCCTGGTGTATTACTGGTCCTTCTCCGTCCCTCCTTATGGAGACCACACCCACCACACCATGGAGGGATACATCAACAATACTCTCTCCTACTTCAGTGTCGCGGACTTTAAAAACAGAAGCAAGGGAAATACGTACTCTGGGCCTGGTGGTCATACCATGTGCAGGCAAGTTCTGCTTACGTGTTTTCAAATGCGCTTCCATCTTTTAAAGGACTTTTATTGTAATGTAATTCTATTTAATGTCATTTAAGTAAAATTGCTAGAGACATTTTTTCCTAGCTTTCTTTTCAATCAAACTTAAAAAAGGATAAGAAACAAAAGTAATACACACTAGGGTTAGAGCTTTCAAATCAAACCATAAAGCAAGATTTAAAGTTGAGAGTTTCAAATGATTACAGGTAGACCGATCCAGGAGAAAAGTTTTATATCTTAGAAATGAGGAAATTCTAAGAGTTCCAAAAAGCAAGATAATTGAGTTGTTATGACTAATGTGTTATTCAAGCACAACCTGACAACATTGAATGATGACAAACTAAGCACCCTCACTTAAAGGAACACAAAGATAAGAACTGTGAATACCCCAGCCTAGCCAAAAGTATTCTCTAAAGGTATTACAAAGCTCTCTGCAGTGATTTTAGTGGCTGGTAAGATCAACTGTAGACAGTATACATCAACTAAATTACCAATTATAAGTTCGTTGACCACAGTTCTTTGAGTTTTTTTGTTCAATAGAGTCTTAAACCTAAAGGAGGCTTTAAAATTCATTTAGATCAACTCCTCAAAGCTTTCTGATTCAAATTCTCAACAACACAACCAAGAAACCAGAAATAAGCCCCAAATAAATGTTTCAAAGTGACACATAGTAGAGCCTCTTCAGAATCTCACACTGAATCTGCTTACTCTTACTTTGCATAATTCTAAAGAGTAATTAAATTCTTCTAGGTCTAATAGGTTACAGGCAGAAAATTCGAGATGTGCTACCTGAGGGAGAAACACTAACAGCAGTAGTATATGACATCTGACAACAGGAAATTAGTAAGAAAATTATAATAAATATATATTACTCTCTATAGGCAGAGAGAGCCCCATAGCTGAACTGAACTGTGATGACACCATGATATAAATTTATAAACAATTCTGAAAATATGCTAAGTTGTTTGTTATTATCTTGAGAAAGCAGGGATAAAACTACCAAAAATTTTGAGATATTTTTGTTCTCTTTTTACAAAGACGGAATCTGTTATTTACCATCATTTTCCTCTTGTACATTAAATGAAGTACTACTATAATAGTTATTTGAGTTTTGTTACCAAATTAAACCTCTGGGAGAAAATTTATATAATGCCCAATTTAAAAGCATTGCATTGAATATGACCTCATTTCAAATGGGACCTCGTTTACAGTCATTGATCTAAAAGAATTATCTCCTGACCTGCCTCGATTTTGTTTCCAGGTATCGTGATTTCCGGTACCCTCCAGGACACCCACAACAATATAAACACAACATCTACTATTGGCATGTGATCGCAGCCAAGCTGGCTTTTATCATTGTCATGGAGGTAGGAGAAGTATACATACTTGGAAATAGTTTATAAGGCAGTATATATGCAGACCCTTTATTAACTTTAAGTGTTGCCAACTCTGACTTGAAATGTATAATACATTCTTTTCTCTTGCTAATAATTATTTTAGGACATTAATCAAATTTGATCTGAGAATACACATAAAGCTCTCATTAATTAAATGAAGTTGCTTATCTGCTTTAAAAGTTAAAAGCATATTATATGCTAAAGGGATCCAGTTCTTTTCAATTCAGTATTAATTGAATGCCTTTAGGGAGGGAGCACTGAGCTACATATTAGGCTGAGAAGGGACTTATTCAAGATGAATAAGATGTGACCTCTGATCTGGAGTAACTTTAATTGCTGTAATAGTCTTATTTGTATTATTTTTATTGATTTTTATAATATACCTTCTTACAATAGTTTTATATCCCTAAAATCAACCAGCTCTGAAAAATGACTAAGGCACCTATAAATTTGAAATTGATCTAGCCAACTTCTTACAGTGAGTGAATAACTACTACCAAATTCCAGAACCTCAAAAGTTGCTTAATTGGTACGGTCAGTTAGGATTACATTTAGCTACAAGAAATAGAAAACCATCTATAGTAGCTTAAACAAATAAGGGTTGATTTTTCGCACATAAAGTTCACTAGAAGTAGGTGATTACTCCTAAATCAGTTCCATCTCACTGATATAAGGACTGTATCTCTGATTTTCTCTCATTGCGTGTCATGTTGTGGTTGCATTATGAATGCTGCAATTCCGAATAACATGTTTATGTTTGGGGCCAAGGAGGAGGAAAAGGGAGATGCTAGCCATACCTGTTTCTTTCTGTCAGGAAAGAAAATGCTTTGTCAGAACCCCCTCCACCCCACCCCCACTCTGAGCAGACTTCCATCTGTATCTCATCCTAGAACTATAGCACATGGTTCCTCCTAGAGATATTTGGTTTCTCTGAATAAAATCAGAATCTGTTAGCAAGAAAGAAGTGGGATAGGCTACCTGGCTTTGATAATTTTTCTAGTATTTTTTAGTAGCTACCACACACTAACGGAAAGAGAAAGTAATTTATCATTAACTCACCACCATAAATGGATTCCTGAAGTACAGTATCTGATATATCAGCAAGAGTCATTATATTAAAATATGTTGTTGCCCAAGTGTTTAGACTTCTGCTTTTGATATGGTAGACTAGACACTGTGAGGGGCCATCTCACTACAAAACATTTAGAAGTAGCTTAAAACATTTCCTTTGCGTTTTTGAGCTCACTAAAAGGGAGGAGAATATACAAAGAGGGGAAAACAGGTGATGGGCCAAAATAGAGTAGTAGACAGTGAGCACCCCTGAGATTCACGAGTGCTCTGAGGACAAGTGCTGTCATCGTTGCCTCCATCTAAAAGCTCAAGGAGTCAAGGCTTGAGTCAGAAGCAAAGCAGAAAAGCTGAGCTTGAGACTCTTGGATTCGGCCAGGATCCCGAAAAGGGCTAAATGTGTCCCAGAGCAGGAGGAAATGCATATCTTTTCTGAAGAAAAGTGTCTTCAATTTGGATCCCAGGTTTTCTCAGATTTTGCGATAATCAAATATGAACTTACAATCAAAGATCAACAATGACAGATAGGGGTGGGGGCAACATGAGTGAGATTCAGTCAGAAAAAAACAACTGATTTGGAACCTAAATAACTTCAAGAGTTTGAATTATCACATAAGGAATATAAATTAACTGTATGTAAAAATGTTTAAACAAATAAACAATAGTCAAAACTGAGCACACAGTAAGAAACTAAAAAAAGTTACAAGGCAATTTTGAAAAATAGAACTTTTAGAAATGAAAAATTAACATATGGATTAAACAGAAATTTGGACAAATCTGAGATTAGTGAATTGGAAGATGAATCTGAAAAAATTACCCCTAACACATCACAGGGAGATAAGAAATTGGAAAGTCTGAAAAAGAGGTTGTGATATGTAAGACACAATAAAAAGGACTAATTTTCAAAAAAAATCGTACAAGAAAAAAGTGGGTAATGGAAGAGAGGTAACATTTGATGAGTTAGTGGCTAAAAATTTTTCAAAATAAATGAAAGACATCTGTTCAGAGAGCAGAAAGCACACCAAAACAAAAATGTTAAGCAGAGCAGATAAAGAAATCCACACTTACACACATAATAAGGAAAATGCAGCACCCCAAAAATAAGATTTTAGAAGTAACCAGAGGAAGAAGACAGATGACTGAAAAAGAAAATTAAAAGTAGAATGAGAGTAGTGTTTTTAACAGCAACATAGAAGCCAGAAGAGTAGTATGGTATTTTCAAAATGCTAAAGAAGGTAACTGTAAACCTAGAATTATTAAACTTTGAGTAACTGAAAAATCTTTCCACGATGAAAACACCAGGCCTTATGGTTTTATGGGAGAGTGATACCAAACTTTATAGAACAGATTTTTTTCAATCTTATACAAACTCCTTCAGAGATCAGAAAAGGAAGGGAACTATTCTCTCACTCTTTTTCAATCCTAAAATCAGACAATTGAATAGATAGATGCAAAAGTATTTTTTAAATGTGCAGACTGACTAGATAGATGCAAAAGTATTTTTTAAATGTGCAGACTGACTCTAGCAATATATTTTTAAAAGATGACATCATACCACATTGACTTTATCACAGAAATGCAAAGGTAGTATAACAGAAAATCCACATATCTGTAAATATTACTATCTCAGAAATAGATGGGGGAAAAAAAGCCCTCTCTTTCCTACAACATGACTTTTGCCTCTTTACTATGTAATTTCCATCATTCAAACACTCTGATCTCTCTCATCTCAAAATATCCTCCACCCTCACATTACCTAACTTATCAGAAGCATTTGACACAGCTCATCACCCTCTCCTCCTTGAAATTCCTCCTGCCCTGGCTCCCAAGAAAATACATGTTTTTTTTGTTGTTGTTGTTTGCCTTTCCTCCTACCTCCCTAGGTGGTCTCAATTTCTTTGCCAGCCCCTTCCTTCTCTTCTCCTTAATGATCCTGGGGCCGATTCCTTGGTTGTCCGCTTTTCTCTCTAGTCACAGCCCTGGTGATCTCATGCAGTACATTGACTTTAAATGCCATCTACATGCCAATGACTCACAAATGGATAGCTCCAAAACACCTCTCTTCTGAACTCGCCCCATGAATCCAACTACTTACCTGAACTTTCTGCTTGGATATCGAACAGATATCTCGAATATACTGCCTCAAATTTCCATGTTTGCTTAAACTCACTTTCAGTGTTCTCCCCACCCTGCCCCAAATCTGTTCCATCCATAGTCAGTCTTCCCGTTCTCAACTGTGGCAGTTCCACCTCACCAGCTGCTCAGGACAGAACTCTTGGAATCTTGTTTTCTCTCCCCCGCTTGCCCTACGTCCAGTCCCGTTGGCTTTTTCATATATCTGACCACTTTTTACCAACTATTTCTACCACAGGTCACAGGCACCATCATTTCTTGCCTGAATTTGGGCAACAGTCTTCTAACTGGGCTTTCTGTTGTCTTCATGTCTCGAAGTAAAAGCCAAAGTCCTTACAATGACATACAAGGCCTTACGCATCTAGCCACACTTTGTTACCTCTCTGATGCCACTTCTCCTTGCTCACATCACTCCAGCCTTGCCATTTCTGGACCACATCCTGCGAGCTTCCACTGTATAGACTTTGCCCTGGCTATTCCCGTTGCCCAGAATGTCTGTCCTCCTGATATCTGCCTGGCTGATGCTTTCACCTCAAAGTCTGTTCAATGAGGCATATCCAAGCTAATCCATCTAAAATTTATTTTAAATACACTTCTCACCATGATACAATAAATCTTACTCTGCTTTACTGTCTTCCCATAGTTCTTACCACTTTTTAACACCATATATAATTTGTTTTTAATTATCTTTATTGCATATTATCTCCATCCCCTTGCTAGATCAGGAATTTTTGAATGTTGAATACATAGATGTTCAACCTCATTAGTCATCAAATAAATGCAAAGCAAGACCAAAGCGAAAGTTCATTTCTTAATAACTATGTTGGGTTTTTTTAAAAAAAGCCTGATAACAAGTGCTTGCAAGGCTGTAGAGCAACTGAAATGATCATATACCACTGGTAGGAGTGTAAGCTGGTATAACTGCCTTGGAAAATACTGTGTTGCTACCTGGTAAAATTGAACATTAATGTTCTCTTAATGTGCTTAAAAACCACCCCTTGTAAAACAGAATAGATTTTGTGGCAGCAGCACTCCTAGGTGCACATTCTTGAGAATCTCACAGATATGCTCCAGAGTCCAAGGGCAAGACCATTCCCAGCATCATTGCGTCTAATACAAAAACTAGGAACAAGCCCAATACCTTTTGTTAGGGGAATAAATGATAATGTATTCAAACAGTGGAATGTTATACAGAAGTGAAAATAAATAGACCACAGTTATGCACAATAACCTTGATAAATCTTAGAAACTAGTTCTGAATAAAAAATTTTTTTTCAAAACAACGTATATTGTTTATAAAGCTTATATACTATAAGCTTTCTAAAGTTCAAATCAAGCAAGACTACTAAACATTATTTGGGGATATATACGTATTTTAACAATTTTTTCAAAAGTAAAAGAAAATCACATAATTGCACAGATGAGCATGTTTGCCTTTGGGGAAGAGGCATGGGAATGAGATAGGAAAGGAACACACAAAAAACTACAGCATTGGCAGTGTCATGGTGAGTATTATAGATATTAGGTATATTTTTTCCCTACTTTTTTCAAATACTGTTCTTGAAATATATAAAGTAATAAAACGTAGCTCCTTGGCAGAGCCATATCATGGTGGGAGAGATTGGATATACACGTAGAATGCCCACACCTTGTCCAGATATACTGCCACAATGACCAGCAAAAATAAATGAAAAGAATTGTTTTCCCCTCCATGTCTTTTTGATTGACTTTTTTCTTCTTCTCTCCTTCAGCATGTCATCTACTCTGTGAAATTTTTCATTTCCTATGCAATTCCAGATGTATCAAAAAGCACGAAGAGCAAGATCAAGAGAGAAAAATATTTAACCCAAAAGCTTCTTCATGAGAATCACCTCAAAGATATGACAAAAACTATGGAGGTCATATCTGAGAGGATGGTAGAAGCAGTAGATAACAATTTACGACCAAAATCAGAATAAGAGCTTTATGTTCTGAGAAGCACTTTAGAGAATTTAGCTCTGTCAAAAAATATTATGAATCTCTAATGAGAATGTTTAAGGTCAGTCACTTTTTGGCAAATATGAGTGTTAACTATTGCCATTTTCATGTAGATTATTTTTCGGTTTCAGCTAGTGATGCAGGAACTAGAAAATGTAAAATTTAGATCAAGAAGAACATAAAACTAATCACCTGGAAAACCTGAAACGTTACCTTTGATAAATTGGAATTTCACAATCACAGAAAAAGTCTCTTAATGTGCTTAAAAACCGCCCCTTCTAAAGCATGATGGATTTTTTTTCCTCCCATTTGATTGATTTCATTCATTTCTGTTCTCAAGCACATGGTCTTTATTTTTAAGTAGTGTTTCAGTTCTTTGCTTTGCCACATTGTTCCAGAGTTGTCTTTCCCTTACAGTGTCATCATTAAAGACAAAACATTATAGCTTTTGCATGGTTAAACATTGCTAACTCAGAACTCAGTTTGAATGCTGGGTTAAGTGGCAAATAGACTGAAGAATTCACAATATTGAGGTGTATTATCACAGCTCTACAGAAAAGGAAACCTCAGTTAACAGGAAATAGTTTGTCTTCATTCTGGCTTATCTTTCCATCTCAAAGAAATACTCTTAATGGATTGGAATAAAAATCGCAAGGAACTGAAGCATATTTGTGCTAATCCACAGCGACACCTTTTATCTTCTAGGAGCAGTCCTAGAATGTTCTGTGCCTAATCAACGTTGAATGCTTTGCAACTCTCAAGGGAATATCGTGAAAAAAGCAAAGTTACAAATTCAAATAGAACTGTAACTCCTATTGATCAAGTAAATTAATTTACCTCTTCTAAAGAGGTATAGTTTCTTGGAAAAAAAAATGAAAGTGATTAACATTACATTTCTATCAACATAATGGTCTGGAGAGGATAAAGCTCATCCACTTCCTACCAGTTGCCCTTTATTCATTAGCTACAGGAAGCACAGTATTACAAATCATAAGCACCATCGCCAGTGGCTCACTATATGGCCATCGTGACATGACTGACGTGCACAGTGAAGAGAACGCCAAGTGCCCCAGCCTTGAGCCACATTGTGTTCCTGTGTAGGGGGCGCCTTTTGGCATGGATTCTGCATGTCCAAGCGATTAGCATACCAAAGCATCAGCCACAGGTAACTCCTTGCACCCTCCATTCTCCTGTGCCCAGCCCAGTAACTCGTTTCTAACTGCATCTTTGCACCAGTGGAGCATTTGTGGGGAAGGAACGGGAGAGACCCAGGTTATTCCCAATCAGGAAAAGAGACTTTGGATTTGATTTGAGTTACTAGCCTCCCTAAGGCCAATCAGGCATTAAGGTAAGAAAAGGAAATGGTTTGGTCACAAATCCTGCCATCAGCTGGAAGTATCTTCCTGCTAAATTCCTGCACTATGCATATCTTGCCCTCGATTTGTTCAGCTCAGCAGTCTACAGCGCTTTACTGCCTTTCAGGTGCTAGAGCCTCCAGTAAGCACTGGAGACGACACAGGTCCGTACCCCTCACCCTTGACTGGTAATAGGGCAGTGCTGGGTGCAGGAGAGGAGGTCTGGCACCAGGATCTTGCTAAATGGGCCACCACCCACTGGGATGCTGCTAAATGCCCAGGTGCAACAGGAGCCAAGCCACTCAGAACCCACTCAGCAGTAAAGGAAAAGGAAACATGTTTAGTGAGCAGATTTAGAGGCCTATTATAATAGAGTAGCCTAACTCCAGGTCACAATTCTAAATGCCTGCCACAAATAGTAAAAGAAAAAAAACAGTATGTGTGTTAGATTCATCAAAGCAATATCTGGACTTTTGAGTTGTCCCAGTGGATCAGAGACAACATTTTACTAGCTTTCTTGGTAATGCTAACGAGGATCAGAACGTGCTTGCAACAGTCCATGTGAGGTCTGACTGCACTGGGAATGAGAAGTGAATTTCTTCCCAGTGGGGAAACCCTTTTTTATTCTGCGCAGCCTAGACACGGGTGCCACTCTTCCCTGCCCCGCTCACCTGTGATACTGCTCTTGGAAATGGTGTCGCCGTCTCTCATATTACCTCTTCTCTTCTCTGAACTGTATGATTATCTCCTACTATTGGATTTGGCAATTACTCAGTGCGTATGGAAGCATAGAAAAGGAAATGTGTTTGCCTTATCTCCTTGTATATAAGATATGACTTTAAAAGAATTGTGCATTTATGTTTTCATAAATCATCTTCCATAAATTGCCTTCCTGGTCTAAGATGTGCTTCTGTGAAGAGGCAGGAAAAAACCCTCTACCTTTTTAAAGGCAGCAGGCATGATGTATGACACTGCCAGTGTTTGCCAAACAGCTAAGATGTAGTCGGGACCCAGGGTCACCCATGACACTGACAGTGTTAATGTAAGTCTAGCGCTGACTTGTTGGTGAAGGAAAATGTGGGGCTGTCTGCGGCAGTCATGGACTGGATCTGTAAATGTACCCAGAGGCAGCGCCCCTGGAAAAATGGATGGGTGTCGCAGTGGACCTGTGAAGGGAAAATCTGGCCCCAGACCTGCCCAGTGTTAACCACTAGAGAAATTTTCATTTTGTATCCTTTTGGTAATGCCTGTGAATTTTAATGGATTGAAGCATTAGACCAAAATACTCAGGGGATTTTTCTTTAAATATCCCTCAGCTATTTTAGTTATGTAAATAGAAAGGGAAGGCTGTCATTTTTGTTTGAAAACTAAATAAGTCCATCTTATAAACTGTCACCAAAGTCCTCCCTTTTAATTGCACCTGCGTCTTGAATTTCAGAAAACATTAATTCACAATAGGGGGGCAGAATGTGCTCTGTTCTTGAAACATTTCTTGTACCATTTTGTCATGTTTGTATTATATTTTAAGATGTTTGAAAAATCTAAATGTATGAGTAGCTTAACTAAAGTAGAACTAAAATATTCATAAACATTCATACACTGTGGCATAAAATGTAAAGTTTGTAATGTTTTGTGATTTCTGTGCATTTTAATATCCTTTTATAATTATGTGCATTTTAATAAAATTATTTAAAAAATAATACTGTGGTTACTCTATTTAATCGTCTTAAATTTTTTAAGAAAGAGCAAATATATACCTGCTATTTACCAGTTATGTATAACTCAGGTAACGAATGTGCACTTTCGTATAGATTATATCTAAAATTATGTTTTTTCACAGCCTACACTTACTTTGAAACGTGGTTTTTCTGGGACAGATTGAGGGTGGGGATTCAGCCAGAGCTGCTGTGTACAATAGTGACTGAGCCCTACACAGGATTCGTACCCTCTGAGGTTTCGGGCATCCACTATGAGTCTTAGAACTTATCCCCCGTGGAAAAGGGGAGACAACTGTAGTTGGTATTTATCTGAGCCCCACCTGGCACATACCAGATGTTTACTTACACATTATCTCACTGTCAGTATGATGTTTTTGTAGAGAAATTTTAAGTAGATTTTTTTTAAAGGATTATAAAAGAAGCATATGATTATAAAAGAAATGCAACCAAGCTGTACAAAAAGGCTTTACAGGAAACCTAAGTCCTACTCTCACCCCAGCCCAGCCCATTTCACCCCCCAGAGGTCCGAGGAAGTACAAATTGGGAGCCATCTCTTTGTCCCAAAGAGACCCCAGAGATTTGCTTTAGTTTTTTAAAATCATATTTAGTGTATTAAAGTTGCAGATCAGAAAAGCTACTCCTATCCTTAAGCTCTTAAGTTCAGCCCAAATCCTCTTCTTTTCATAAACTTAGCAAATGTTATCACCTTTTAAGGAAACTTTGTTTCCACTTGCAAACTTAATGAAAAGCTTTAAAATATCTGAAATAGCAATTATAAATTTAGTCTATTCCATTTCCTTTTTAAGTACTCCAGTTTTTCCAACTACGGCCAAGAGGCTGCAAGTAGAGGGACTGCTAACTCTCCTGCTCTGCTTAGAGAATACCTTTCACAAAGCCATTTAGCTCATGGTCTCCCTTGTCACCCTTTGTGGCTGGGAGACTGATTAAGCAAGTGGGCAATGATCAGACTATACATAAAAATAGAACTCTGACCCACAACCTGTAGCAACCAACCCAGGAAACCAACCCTTTATGTACATAGACTGTTTTATCTGTGGTGACAGTCCTGAAAGCGAAAAAATAACCTCTGTGACAATCAGCCCCAAAGGCCAAAACTTGATTAATTCTGACGGCTTTCCTGATTTTTGTCCCTACTTCCAACTTAGGACCAAACAGAGAAAGCCAACTATGCATCCCTAACCAATTTCATAAGACATTTCACTTCTAGCTAGCCCGCCCACAGCTTCCCCATGTCAACACCCTCCAATCGGCACACCTGAAACCTTACTTTTTCTTCACTATAAGTTTTCTCACTTCTACTGCCTCTGAGTCTCTGCCAAAATGCAATTGATGATAGCTGACTTCCTTGCTATAGGGAGCTTGGAATAAATAGCGTTTGCGTGTTCTCATTTGGTTGGTCTTCATTTATTTCACATTACTATCTGATACAAGGTAGAGGAGGTTTGCTGGGTAGGTAGGACAAACATTGGGAAGTGTTACTTTGGCTGACTCCTGCCCCTGAGTCACACTAGAATCGAAGGGGAGAGAGGGTTGGAAACTTATGGCTGATGAATCTTCTGGAAGTGTAGGTTGGACTGCCAGAAGTGGTGAATTTAGCACAGAATTTGCCTTTGATAGGTAATGGAGAACCTATGAAAGACCAAAAGGGAAAACCAGAAGCAAAAATCTTGTCTTTATCCCTAGTCAAGACTCATTTCCTTTCTGTCTAAACTCTCACTCCTCTGAGATGCTCAGAAGGTACCTGGGTACCTTCAGATTCAAGAAGGAAATTGATACTAGTTCTCACAATAGGGAGGCCACTTTGCAACCTTACTGAGGTGAGGGAAAGAAGAGAGTTTATCCCACCTCAGAGCCTTCATGTTACATGGGACAGTCAAGCATAATTTGGAGGGAAAACAATCATGGGATAACCAGCTGTGGCCACAACTATTTCATTTTCTTTTGGGAGATGTGTTCCTTTGGTTACGAAACAGAAGATTTTGTAAATGTTCTTAAAGGACCAGCATTTCCGTTTCCTACCAGAAAACAACATAGATAGCCCTTAAAAACCCCTTACCTCGTTTCCTAAAACTGTTTAACACATAGGATCTTTTGCAATGCTGGAGTGATTTTATTTTATTTTTGTCATTTAACCTATTGGAAGGGATCCCCAAGATCCCTGGCCCTACCTTTCATTTCTCATTCACTCATCTGGGTGCCTTGCCATGATCACACCCAGTTCCTGCCAATGAGAACCACTCCACAGGAGAACTCTAAAGTAAGTAGATTGTGATCCCTAATATTGTTCAGCATGAATAAACACAATTATGATTACAAAATACCCTACCTTTACTTTCTCTTCAGTGTTGCTTGTGGTGATGCATAGTGATAGGTCTCTATTAATGATGGGAAAACCATGGAGTGGCCTGCTCTGGGTGTAGAATGATCTGTAAATGCTGATGGCACCAAAATTCAAGGGCTGGCCTCACCAGTGGGCCTTTCCTCCTCTACTTTATTTTTAAACAGACCAAATTTTACCTTCAAGTATATTGGGTCCTTTGGAACAATCAGTATCCACTATCCCAGAGCTCTAGCTTCAACATCAAAATTGTAGAGCAACTCTTTCTTAAAGACTGGCTAGAGAAGGAAGATAGGAAGCAATCTAAAGAGACCAGAATAATAAAGACAATCTGGAAAAAGAGTGAATCTATCAGAAGATCCAGAGTAGTAGGAAATTCCAGGTCCCTCGTTTTCGCTCTGAGAAAGCCTCTGAGTATAACTACCAAAACATACTCCATTTAGGTTGAACCTCAAAATAATTAAAAGCAAACATGTAAGGAGCAGCTCCCAGGAAGTTGTCTCAATTTCCCTTTTTATTGATGACGATGGGTCAGATACAACCCCAGGAGCCTCACTGGGGCCCAAAGAGAATTATGATGTTAATACTTGCCTTTCACTGAGGTAATATGTTTTGGGGACTTCTTTAACTTCCTTTGCAAGGGTAAATCACGTCATTACCTTCCTTGTTTTAATCTAGGAGATTGCACTAAAAACCTAGAATAAAATTTTTCCCAGATAATGTTCTTCTATGTCACCTTTTAAAGTTCTATCACTTGTTAAATGTGAATGGTATAATCCCTAACACCCGATGACGGCATTCCACAGGAGAAAGGAACATATCTTGGTACATCTCTTTGGGGCTCTCTTCCTGGGTTTTCCTGGGTTCATCTACCCTGATAATACAACAGTATCATCATTTTCTAAATCTTGTCTTAACATCTCCATTCATTCACGGCCACCTCATTACTTAAAATTAGTTCCCCTGCTTTCTGCCAGCTGCTGCTCTTAAAGGTAAGAAAGACAGAACACCAGCATTCTGCTCACAAAACACTCCTCAACTCTGCAGCCCATGGAAATAATCTGGATGATGCGTCTGTTATAAACATCTCGTTTCTTCTGCCCTCCATTTTCTTAGGAACTCTCAGGTCATGCTATACCATTCAAACTAAACCAAATCTCTGTATTCTGTGAATCGGGGCCCGGAACAAATGTAATTCTCGTCCCTCCTGACCAGCCTACATACTGTAAATGATAAGAGAAAGGAACAGAAACTTTGCCTGGGGTACAGAGCGAGGATTTTAATCTATTTATCTAAGTATCTCAAGAATATAGTTGGCCTCACCAAAAATATATCTTGTTTTAATTAGAGTCCACATTTAGAATGTAACAGAAAGTCACTGGGAAAAAAATGTGGGCAATGTATAGGTAAAAGACAGTGTTGATGGTTAGTTTACTGGGGTTCCAGGCAGTCTGAAATATGGGAAAGCAAATAAGATTCAGAAATAGGAGACCTTGGTTCAAGTCCTGAACCTGCCAGTGATTGGCCTCATATCCTTTAGCAAGCTGAGACAGAGTAAAAATAGACAATGTCCAGACCATATATATGAATAAAAATAGACAATGTCCAGACCATATATGTGAGTAAAACTCTGACCCACAACCTGTGCCATCCTGCCCAGAAAACCAGCCCTTTACAATAATTAGACCAGGAAACCGACCTGCTGTCAGTCAGACTTGTAAGAAGTCAGATTACTACCTCTAGTGACAGTCTAGGAAGCCAAATGATAATCAGCTCCAAATGGCCAGGACTTGATTAATAATTGACTTATTTTCCCTAATTGTTTTCCCTGATTCCAACTTAGGACCACCCAGAGAAAACCAAATATGCACCCCTAATTAGTCACATAGGACACCCCACTTCTCCTTAGCCTGCTTCCAGCTTCTCCATGCCAACAGCCTCCAACCACGGCACACCTGAAACCTTCCCTTTTTTTCACTATAAAGCTTTCTCGCTTCTTCCTTCCTTTAAGTCTCTGCCAAAAAGCATGTGATGGTAGCTGACTCCTTTGCTACACCAAGCTCAGAATAGTCTCTGCTTGTTCTCCCTTGGTTGATCTTTGCTTATTTCCACAAAGTTATTTAACCTCGCTAGGCTCCAGCTTCCTAATCCATAAAATAGAACTAAATAGTTCCCACCATGCTACATCATTTTTAAGTCCCTAACGTCTGTGCCAGGAAGTAGAAGAAACCACGGGATGAACATGAGCCATCCTCTTAGAAGTGAGTATTTCAATGATTAGGAAGGAAATGACCAACATAAAACACATGCATATATATATATAAATAAAATGGAACTGAATGTAAAATGTGAATATAAAAGAACAATACTTAGGGTGGAAAAGTCTAAGAAATATTGACATATGTAGGAAACACCTTGTCAGCCATGAGATTCTAGAACAGTGGTTCTCAAATTGTGGTCTAAGTTTCCCCCGAAAGGCCTGAGACCTTTTCAGGAGGTCCACAAAGGCAAAACTATTTTCTTAATAATAAGAAGACATGATCTGCCTTTTTCATTCTTTCCCTCTCAAATGTGCAGTAGAGTTTCCAGAGGCTACATAATATTGGATATGGCCACAGATTAA